TTTGATTCTTCTTCACTGCTAGTGGGTCGTGCAAAATCTTGGATCTGTTTTCAGCCCATTTATCATCGGCAGAATCATATATTCGATTATTAGAAGAAATTGGTTGAGTAACCCCAATACTAAACGAAGCACCCTTATCCATATGTAGCAGGAACAGAACTTTGAACAAAAACAAGAACTCGATTAAAACAACAATGGAGAAGAGAGCCCCTACCTATTCAGATGTTTGAAATTGGTTGACTGGAGAGAGAAGCGTTTTGAAATCAACTTGATAACTGCTAACAATTTGGAGAGAGAATCATTTTGAAATCAATTTGATAACTGCTAACAATTAGGAGAGAATTTAGGGAGAAAAAAAAAAGAAGTTGAAAAGGAAGTGTAAGCGTGGGTTTCACTGGTCAATGTTATGTATTCGGAAGTTTTAAAAATTGGAATGAAAAAAGGAATTTTTGAAATATTTAAAAGAGGTTGGAAAAAATGGAGAAAAAAAAGACTTAAATTGTGTATATAAGTAATTTTTCCAAAAATAAAACCCACCCCTCCTTAATTTATGCTAATCATTAACTGTTGGTTTCATAATGAAGGAAAAACAAGACCTATTAATATGCCAAATTAATTTTGGGACAATTTGTGCTAATATTTTTTTGGGCAAATTACAGAAATCACATACTTTTAAGGTAAAATTACAATTTATTCCTTAAAAGTTTATAATTACAGAAATCCCTGAAACGGATACAATAATATAAGCGCTGATTTAATCTGATGCGCGAGATACAATAACATAAGTGTTGATACATTAATTTGATGCGTGAGATACAATAATATAAACGTTGATACATTAACCTGATGCGCGAGATACAATAATATAAGCGCTGATACACTAATCTGATGCGCAAAAATGAGGGATTTTGGAGATTTGTAAAACTTATAGGGGATAATGGTAATAAGCAAACTAAAAGGTGGAATTTCTGTAATTTTTCCTATTTTATTTGTCTATTTAATGCTTATTAATGTTGGGCTAAATGTTGCTAATAGTTATTAGCAGTTGTCTAGTGATCCAACCCACTTACTGTACTGGGCTTCTCAACACCCATGGGCATTGGCCTTCATAATTTCACGGATACAAGTATTTGATCTAGAAATTCTTACCTTCATAATTAAATAAGACACTATATTATTAAATTTATTAATATTTTTTTTATTTACCAAGCATAATAAGTTATTTTTAATAATTTGTAGTAAATTTGAGAAAAAGGTTCCTCACTTCGTGTATTTCAACATTTGAACAGACAAGATATAGATTGATATTTCAATTTGGACTACTACCTTATTTGAAAATTCAACTTTATAATAATTGTCAATGTATTTTAATACGATGGGGATTGAGGAATGGACTAGAAAAATATATTGTATAAAATAGATACCAAAATAAATTGAATAGAGATGTGTTCCTCTCTAACTTCCCATGGTGTCCTAAAAGACTTATAGAAATTGAAACTCAATATGACTTTACAAATTTTAAAAAATGATTTGAATTTTGAATTGAACTGCATCTTAGTTGTTAGTTGACAAATTAGATTTATTATTGTTTTTTGAAGCTCAAATTATGATTAGAGTACTATGATTTGGGTGGCAAATCAAATTAGAAAGGCAACTCATTATTGCTTAACAAGCTTAAAGAAATTATTTAAATTTCGAAATTGATTGTTATGAGAAATTTGAATTGAACGTTGTTTAAATTTATTGAAAATAGTTTTTTAAAAATTAACTACAAAATTTTGAAGTCATTTAGTGGATATTTTGAATTTGTTTTGAATAATGATTACAACTAAAAATCACAAAAGAAGTTTATAACTATAACTAATAATGTTTATACATTGTTATAAATTATACAAGGTATATATATTGTAATACATGTTATACAATGTAGAAACATTATCTATAAAAATTATAAACATTACTCTCTTCATCCCTCTGTCTCAGTTTATATGACACATTTTCCTTTTTAATCACATTGCTAAAAATAGATTAAAAAAATCAAGGGTTAAAATCGAGGGTCAAAATTTGAAAAATAATAATTTAAAATTTGTTTTTAAAAAATACTTTCAATTTCAAATTTTTATTTTTCACCCCCCCTCCCCCCGCGCCAGCCCCACCCTCCCCAAAAAAAATTAAGTTTATTTTTAAAAAGTACTTTCAATTTCAATTCAAAAATTATTTTCTACTCTCTAGTAAAAATAACAGATATTTTCTCAAAAATATTTTTCATTCATAAATCAAACATTAAAAAAAAATCAAAAAATATTTTCTACTCACCAACCAAACATGAGAAAATAAGTAAAAAATCTACGTTCTTTCTAAGAAAATATTTTCCTTCATACCAAAACACACCCTTTGTCTCAATTTATGTGACACTCTTTCCTTTTTAATCACATGGTTAAAAATAGGTCAAAAATTAAGTGTCAAAATTGAGGGACGTCTTACACCAAAAAATGGTGGGTCAATTTTCTTAAATTAATAAATATCTTTTTTTTAAAAAAAAAAGTAGAAAGAAAATCGACTTTGATTTTAAAGATATATGTGTGTGTGTGTGTGTGTGTAACAACTTTGGAATCAAACCTAGGTATTTACTATTTATCATGATTGAAGACTATCTGCCATTAGATCACTCATGCTCTTAAATAAATTATGTTTGTTGTTTAAATTATATTCTTTAATAACAATTTTACACCTTAAAAACCAACATTCGTCAATTTTTATAAAAAATCATAGTGTACTTTCAGTTATATTTTTCAAAAATAAAAAAAAGAATCATAATTTTCACGTCCGTACGTCAATTTCTTTTTGAAAATATTTTTTGTATATATTTTTGCCAAAATAATTGACGGAAGTACGTCGGTTTTCTTAAAATAAAAAGTAGCAAGTCCAGTTTCTTTAACAAAAAAAAAATTGAAAATCATTGACAAACCGACGGAATCTTTCTGTTTTCCACATTTTTTTAGTGTTTGTCCAAAAAAAGACACATTTAATATAGGAATAATTTAACTTTAAATTGTTTAATTTTAGTTTGAATGAAGTAATTTATATGCACACAAATGTCTATAAATTACTTTATAATCTTTTATTCTTAAACGTCATGTTTATTCAAATACCTTCACATAATTGAGGTGTCATCATAGACATTTCCAATCCAAACTAATTAGATTATCAAATAATTAAATTTTATAAAATAAGTAAGTATTGTCTTAATTTTGAATGTTTTTAAAGAGTAACAATCATTACAAAATTAATGATTTTTTTAACCTATTTTATAATTTAAAATATTATGAAATATTATACTAGTAAAAAAATGATATTCTATTTGATGTGAGGTTTTAATTCTATTTTTAAATACTTCTACAATAATCTAGATAATTCGTGTAATAATTGATTTAATTAAAAAAGCTTTCTGAGATCTAAACATTTGTAGTGTTGTATGACATACAATAATTTATATATGCACATCGTGTCTTACAAAATATTACCAAAAAGTGTTATAGTGTCAACTAAAAAGAATTAATTATCAAATCATAATTAATTATTATACATTTTAAGAAGTTACGAGAATTAATATACAAAAGAAAAGCTATCAAATATGTAAGAATTCTATACTATAATATCCCTTTGCATTCATCTATAAATATATTTTTGCTATTATGAATTTCCTTCTAATAAACAATTATTATAAATATGCGGAGAAATATTTTATAAAGTATCAAATGAAATTTAGTTTTGAAAATTATATAAATTAATAGAATTGACTGGAATAGAATAAAACTATTTTGTGGCCAAGAAATGGAAGAGGAAAAAAAGTTTATAGCCATAGACATGAAACATCTGTGTCACATAAAAAGATTGAACAATAGAAGATATGTAGGTCCTAAAATCTATTATTAAATCCACATAAGGTCCACAAATAATAATCTAAAATAAATGTCTCAGTTCACCACCACCACTACTTTCCTCAAAGTCAATCACTATTAAACAGGTCTCAAATTACAATATACTATGTTTTTATCAAAAATATTTTTTTATCCCACAAAAAAATGTTATTATTGTTAAAATATTTTTAGTTGTATATTAGTGAGAAACCATAAAATATTAAGCACAAACTAGTCAGATTCCAACTAATTAATTTTAACATCAAAAATTACTTTTTTTTAAACCCAACTTGCTAATTTCCGCAAATCAAGGATCCAAAATACAATTTTTTTGATTGGATGTTCTGTCCAATTAAAATAAGCAAACGAGGAGAATGATTATTTATTTTGTTTAATAGCTTCTTAAGAAGGGAGGTTTTATAATGCTATTTAGCTGTCTGGTTGGCTCCATTCTTCCTGTTGCCAATCTATTACAACTCACTTACGATCATTGTCTCTTTTTCAAACTAGAATATTTAACTTATCACCATAATAAATGGCATAACTGATGTTCAAATCAAAATTCTTTTTATCCACCTAAGTCTAGCTGGTAGTGAAATACTGTGTGAATTAATCAAATTACATACAAATTGATTCAAACATCATCGATACAGAAAATTAAAAGATAACAAAATTATGTTAAAAATATATATATAAAGAGAGAATAGAAATGAAAACTATGTATAACTTTATTGTTAGCAACATTAACATTTCTGCTTAGTAAGCTGAGAGCTCATCTAACTCTGCTAGATCTGCACCTATCCATCAAACTTTAAAAGATACCATAATTACATTTTCTGATGTTTTTTCTATATCAATTTCTTATGCACCTAAGAGAAAAGAAAAATAATAATACCTTGTTGCACTTTCTGCTAGATCAGATGTATTTGCAGGTAGCTGAACAAATATATTAATTACTACTGTTTTTATGGAAAATATGAAGGAAGAGAAGTACTTTGTGTGTCGAACGTCCGAATCGCTATTCCAAAAAAGTCAGTCCTCTTTGTAATATTTGTGCTTCTGAACCTACCAAGTGACCGTTCAAATGCTATTCCTTGTTGGAGATGCAAAAGGGCTATCAGGAAGATTCAATCCTCGACCACTGTAAGATTCCGAAACATTGATTAAATAATGCAAATTAACATATTTTTCCAACACTGGCATGCTGTTATAACATGTTAAATTGTGATTATATAAAAAATGACTTACCTTTCTTGGTCATAGTGATTCGTCTTAACATGCCTAGTTTTGTTGTTGCTGGTGGAACCATTGTTCCATACATCTAGCACGTAAGAAAAACCCTCAGTCGATGGGAACTCTAGTTGTTCGCTATTCCCTATACAGGGAAAGTAGGAAAAGAAAACAATAATGTCAGTTGAAATGGAGGATAAATAAGAAAGATTTTTATATGGAACAAATTTAACAACCTTCTGAAGCGAGCTTCAAATCCTCTACTGAGTAGCCAACACGCATTTGATGATGTTGCAACTCCTGAAAACGTCTCTTCTCAAACTCAATTGCCCTCCTATGTACTAAAAACAGAAAATAATATGAATATTACTTCTATGACAAAAAATTATTAAAGAAAGGTATCATGCAGAAGGTAGATTTCCACAGTTTGAGGTGAAATGCATCTTACAAGATTGGTGCTCAGATTCTGCATTAGAGAAATGATTATAACAGGAAGCTTGATAAGCTTTCTCCGGGCATTTTCTGCAGATATAAGATAAGGATCATATCAAATGCAAATTCCGACAAAGTGATATCCCAAGTCTAAGAGCTTCTGCAAGTTGCAGTCCCTCAAGTGAATGAAAAGATCGATATTCTGATGATACAGACAATATTCTTTAAACATCACAATGTTCACAGATGAGGGAAATGTGTAAATATTAAGAATAGTACGAAATATGCTTGCTGAAAAATATGCCTACTGAGATGCAATAAACAAATCTAATAGACTTAATCGGAACTAAAATTGAGCCAATGATCCTCAAGTATCCTGAAAACAAAATCACTGCCATTTAACCAACAACCACAGATCTGAAACGCAAGTTCACATATAATTAATCAAGAGTATTCAAAGAGCAACCACTTCCAATATTTCAATAGGTTAAACTACAAAGACAAATGGCATTAGCAACACAATATCATTGCATACTCAGCACTCCACAACAAAGGTTAAGTAGGGTACTTCAGAAATGAAGATCTTTTAATATTAACTAACAAATATGCAAATAAGTGATTAGAAGCCTTCAAATAAAAGAAACCAGGGAATGTACCTATCTACAAACTTGGACTTTTCCCTGTAAGGTTTCACCAAAACACGTGCATCGCAGACTAAATGAGGATTCCCCCTTGACAAGATCTGCTTAACTGTCTCTGTGTAAGCAAAAGTTACAAATCCAAACATTCTCTTCTGTTGACAAGGAATCCTAACATCTTGGACTGGTCCAAAATGACTGCATAAACATGAAATAAGTTGTGAAGACGTTAAAAAGATGACTAATAATATGTGTCAATCCACATGGAGTGACGTACCTGAAATAGTTGGAAACATCTTGCTCGCTGAAGGTACTCTCAGCCGGAAAAGTCAGATAAATCTGGCGAGAATCAGCTACAATTGCTCCATGTTCATTTCTTTCTCCACTGCATTCCAAGTATTTGTGAATATCCTTAGCCAAAATAACGGCATGCTGTCCATGGGGCCTGTTGTAAATACAAACATTTATATCAAATACAGTTTGTGTCAAAGAACAAAATCCACAAATGAGAGAGCTATACAAGTTGCACCTGTCTATGACACGAATGCTGTTTCTTAGTCGGGCGAGGAGTTTAGTCAGGCTATATCCAGCTTTCCCGTGTCTCTGACTTTCTGTGAGATAACCCTCGGCCTGAAGTGTTCTGCCAAACATCTCATGATACAACATAGGCAACGAAGCAATAGAAACAGGGTCACCCTCTTTGGATTTGAGAAGCTGAGTGAGCTCCATCTCTAGTTTCTCTAGAGATCCAGGGGAGATAACTTGTTCATCAGTAACTACATCATTTAAATTTCCGTTGAAAACTTGGGAGAAGCTTTCCGGAGTTGGATATCCATGAACGTATCTACAGTTATTTCCATGCTTACAATACCCTTTGTTAAAGTAATGACAAATCTTAACAGGAATCTCAGGCAAGCTTGAAGATCTTCGACACGATCTTGGACCAAATGTACGTCCAACGAAATTGTGGTCTGAGTGATCATCCAAAGATAAGAACTGAAGTTGATTTTGGAGTTGATGTTCATCAGTCATAGTATCGGAGCAACCCACTGGCAAAAGATCCAAGTTATGAATTGGACGATTTTCAGCTGGTCCTTGATGCTCCCAGTACGGATTTCCAACTTGATGGTTCGTAAAGGGGCGAGGTGAAGCTGATGAGAATAGACCAAATTTCAAGGGAGGTGAAAGAGGACCAGAAATGGCTGGTTTGGGTGATAATCCAAGAGAATTCTTAGCTTTGTTAATAAGCGAATGGATCACATTGTCGGGACAAAACGCTAATCTAATCATGTCCTGCTCACCATGATCACGATAGAGGAGATAACCAATGATCTTACTCACATGTTCTGACTCTAGTTTCTGAATTCGATTATATACAATTTTCGTAGACTCGGAGAAATCCATGCTCATCTTCAACCTAACAAATAAACATGGATGTTGACTTAATCGAAAACCATTACTAATAAAACAATTCAAATTTTTATATTGCAGCATATACATCAAAGAACAAGACTTATCTAATTGAAATGGAATATACATACATTTCTCATGACTAAAAATAAAATAAATTCAATTAAAATGACAAAAAATATAGGGTCAAAATGACAAAAAATAACAAATAATCAAAATAAATCTTTAAAATGAGAGAAAATGAAGACAACAGTTGTAAGCTTTATCTAACACTACTGCTGATAACATAACAATAAGCAATCATCAATTTTACCAAAAAATATTTTAAAAAAATGAAAAGCTACTAGTAATTTCTAATTTTTTCTAATAAAATTGAAGATATCACCAAATTTTTTAACATAAAAAATTGTTTAAAAAAGAAATGATTATAACATTTGATATAGAAATTAACCTAAAACTAGAATTTAAGCAACAAATACAACATTGTTATTCTTTAAACAAAATGAAATTAAACAAATTTTGAACATAGAAATTGACTTCAGATTTTTGACATTTCTCTGAACGCAGAAACATCTCGTCTCTTTTCGTCATTGAAACAATATTAACAGTTTAAAACTTAAAATTACTCCACAAATTAAAAAAACAAGCAACATAAACCACCATTTTCAATCACCATTAAAAAAAAATACCTGATATCTAAGTAGAGTACAGTTCAACACTGAAAAAACAAACGAATAAAAAAAAAACAAAACCAATCCATACTCTCAATTCACAAAATTTCTTCCGGCTTGCTCTTGTCGTTCTTCTCACAACACTTTGCTTCAAATCAAAACCCAATTTTAAAAACCATTTAAGGAATTTTTAATTAGAGGTCTTTGATAGTGATAGAAACTTTTTTTGGATAATTTAAAACTTTATAAAACAAAAAGTTTGAAATGAGTCCATATACAGGCTGTATCTCTGTTGTTAGAGAAAAATGGGGGAATTTATTAGGAAATGCGCCTAGATTTTCTAATTTCAATTAGTAGAATGTTTATTAGCTAATGAAAATGACATGAATACCCTTATCCAGCTGTTCTTTCGGATATATCTATGTGGCCAAGTCTTACCCCATTTAAAAAAAAATATATATATATATTTGTAACTGAACACAGGTTGGCTTATATGGAAAAAAAAAACTTTTTTGTCTTTTGAGGAAATCTTGTGTGTAGCACTATATAACTTTATCTGATTGTATGAGCAATTCTGGTGACGCCACGTCGTACTACTCGACGTGTTCAGGAGAAAACATATGAGTTCACGGGAATTTACTATTATGTATGTTTTAAGAAATTTACTAAATATATAATTATGAATTCGATTATAACCTGATGTTATATTGAAGTTATTATATAAAATCATCAACTAATGAAATTTAATGTGTATTGTGAATTTTGCTTTGTATTTATTTACCATGAAATATGGTGAAGTTGTTGTTATTGTTATATAACAACATTAATAATTTCAGTGTAATTTCACGAATGTAATGTGAAAAAAGTTAAGAGTGTATATAGAATTACTATAGCTTTTGACTAAATAAACCAATGGATTAATCTTTTACTTTTTTTTTGTTGGTTAAAATATATGTTTGTTTTACTTGACTTGAATGGGGCCCTTAGTTCAAAAGTGTAATGTTTGTATGTGAAACAGAATGGTTTGTTGTTTTTGTGGGAGTATGATAAATGGCATGCATGCAATATATTTATTTATTTTCTTAATTAATATAATTATTTATTTTGCATGTGTGTCACTTGTCAAAAAATGTGACAGTATTTGGTTTGGGATACTTTGGCCAAAGTACAGATAGAAAAAAATCCCAACAGAAAGCCTACTCCACATATTCTAACTCAAAATCTACATGGCAATTTGTGGGGTATGTGGCAATTTGAAGGAATAAATAAAGAGAGTACGAATAAACTTTATTAATCCAAGGTTAAAAAGACTAAAATTTGGATATTTCCCTCTTAAGAATTTGAACACTAGAGTCATCAATTTATATTAGAGTTTCGAATATGAATAAATAAATAATGTAAAATATTGAACAATTGTATGGCATGCATGGATACAATTTTTGTATATTTTATTTTTAATTTTTTAATAAAAAGTAAGAGATTATAATTTTAATAATTTTCAGTATAAAAAAAAGTTATCAATGAAATATTTTTTTGTAATCGATAATAATGGCAAGAGAAGAGGCATCAATATGCAGTGGCGGAGCCAGGATTTTCAGTAAGGGGGTTCAAAATCTAAAAAAATAGACACACGAAGTAGCCGAAGGGGGTTCGACATCTACTATATATACCTAAAAAATTATTTTAACCATGTATAAATCATATAATTTTCCGCCGAAGGGGGGTCGGATGACCACCCTCATTGTAAGGTGGCTCCGCCACTGTCAATATGTAGTTAAATTTTGATGACTGATAAGTTGAGCAAAATGTGTGTAGATTTAGCCATTTAGGTGAGCCAAAATAGGAACTTACGAATCTAGATTTCAAGGATTTTTTTTATTGACTTCAATTTTACCCATATGTATTCTTTTTATCTTTTATTGTATTAGTTGTGTTCGAAGAATGATTTAGGAATTTCTGTTAAAATGATTCTTGATGTGAAAAATAATATGATTGAGATAATTTCTTATTATAAAGTGAAAATATTTATGCAAAAAAAATAATGAAATGACTTCTCAGGTGGAATTGGGAAAACAAATTAAGTAACATATTAATTGTGTATTTCCTATCTTTTTGTTTTTATTTAATCTTTTCATATTATTTGTCTATATTATACTAAATTGACCATGAGCACGGGCTCAAGATGCTTGTAACTAAGTAAACATATACTAGTGAATTATTTATCATTGTTATACTTTCAACTAATTATGATTTGCAGTTAGTGTTTAATTTGAATGATTACTAATTTCGCCAGACATACGAACCTAATTTGTATCAATGCCCTCTCTTGCCTATTTCTCTTTTATACAAATTAGTTATTCACTCTCATCAAACACTCTACTGTTTTTCTTAATTCACTCAACCACAATTAAATTTGAAATTTCAAAGATATTTTTTCTCCTCCTAAATCCTAATCCTAATCGTGCTTCCACAATTTTAGGTAACTTTTGACGGTTTTCAATTGTTATTTTTTTTAGATTTTTGTTTGTATATCAAGATGCAACAAATTAATTTGCAGGAGTTTAATTCAATAAATAGGAACAAAAAAGGAGAGGAACAAAAGAAAGATGGTTCAAGCGAGTTGCTGAACAAAAGGAAGATGGTTCAAACGATTTCGAAAAAAGTTAAGTAGTTATGTCATTCCTATCTTTTAGTTTTTATCCAATCTTTTCATATTATACTACTAGATTGGCAATGAGCACATGCCCAAGATGCTTGATTTAATAAGAAAAAATTATGTAACTAAGCAAATATTTATTTGTGAGTGACTTATCATTCTTATAGTTTCAACTAATTATGATTCGCAATTAGTGTTTAATCTGAATAGTTACTAATTTTGCAGTCTCATCAAACACCCCACTGATTTCTCTCCTTGATTCCCTTAACCACAATCAAATTGAAATTTCAAAGATATTCTTATCTCCTAATCATGCTTCCCCAAATTCAGTTAACTTCTGACGATTTACAATTATTATTATTTTTAGATTTTTGTTTGTATATCAAGATGAAATAAGTTTTACCAGATTTTAATTCAATAAGGAGGAACAAGCAAGTTGCTGAACAAAAGAAAGATTGTTCTAACAATACAAAAAAAATGGAAAGTAAAAAAATTGTATGTATCAATACTGAATCAAAAACATCTGAAGAAGAAACTGTTGAATTTGGGTCAATGGAACAAGATGATGGTGAAGACTTGAGGTATTTGTATAATATATTTTGTATAATTTTTTTAATTTATATTTCTATCAATACACTTCACATTATATTGTATACGATTCTATGCATTTAGTATATCAATGTTTATGTGACTTTTTTACTTTTTTATACCTTATTTGTATATTTAGCAACAATTATATACAATTACTTTATGCATCGGTTATGGATACATTAGATGTCTAGCATTTAGGATTTGTATAAATTTTTTTAAAGATTTTTCTATATGCATGTGAATGTAATTGTATACATTTGATTTGTGTATTTACGCAATTTTTAACTCACATGTGAATATTTGTAGTTCATATTAGTATATTGTCAGCAAGTATACATTCAAGTTATTATTGTATAACTTCAACATTTTTATATATATATATATATATATAGACACAATATCATATAGGCAATTCTCATTTGTATATTTGATGCAATTATAGTTGTTAATGATGTGTATATATGTTTGGTTTGTATATTTATTGAGTCATTTTTTGATATGTTTATTTAGGAAGTAAAATTTATCTTTTTTCATTTGATAAAAGTAATAGTTGGTAAGAAATCCTAATCAGATACAATAACCGTAATTTGTGGAATTGTTTTGCACTTTAATAACTGAAATTGCCGCCTTATTAATTAAGCTACGAATCCAACTTGTATATAATAAATAAATAAATTTCCAGCGAGATATACAAATAAAGTAAGGCATAACTGCTGAAATTATAGTTACGCTACGTAATTAGGCAAACTATAGTTAAGTAGGCTCATTATATTTCAATTCTACCAATTTATGAACTTTAAACTTATAATAATACAACTTAAACAATATTGTAAGTGCTAATCATGGACATGACATTTTTATATACAAATATGCAAAAAAGATATGCTTATATATCTTTGAATAATATTGATTGAATTACGTTGTTCCATCTTTCGTGGATCAAGATAGATAACATAGATGAAACCAAAATATTGATTTGTACCGAAGCTTAAATAGATAATAATAATAATAAGCAAGATCAAGTAATAGTCTATGTATAATATGTGCAGAATTGTTTTTTTTAATTACAAAAATGCATAAGA